CCTCCCAACTCTGTTAATTGTTCCAATGAAGACACACAAGGATAATGGTCTTTTAACATATCTGGCAATTTAGAAGTCTTCTCTTGAATACGTCGAGAACGTCTCACTGGTGTTAGAAACTTTAGCTCTTTAAATGTAGAATCTGTATTGTCAAACTGTATCTTCTTTTTTACACTAAAAAGACAAAAATTATTCCCAGAGTTAAAAAACATTAACATTTTTACTTGTTCTTTTATGCCATTTATCTTACTATAACTTGTATGTTACAACCATGTGATTGGCTGTCTTACAGAAAAGGAGTTACCAAAGCTCCTTGTAGTTAGGAACTTATTCCTTTCTGTATTTGTTGTCACAGCACATATACAGCAGATTCTTGAATATCTGTACAATTGGCTATTTGCTCAATTCCAAAACCTACTATTATCAATAGCTTACAGACATTAAAGTAAAATATCAAAGTTTTCTTTCACAAAATGGCAATACTTAGGGAAAAGCAAAGCAAATCCAGTATTTAAAGGGTGAAATGTCCCAATGATATTGATTTGCTTGAAACCTTTACCTATTAATAAATGATAGTTCTAATCGCAAGTGAAATATTTTTAGATACCATATTTATTATTCCTAAACATAAAAACAAATCACAGCACAGTACATTTTGAAAGCTTACCTTTGTAGGTATGGTGTAGTAGACACATTATATTTAATTAAGCAACTCCCCCTGGTTTCTGTACTGGGGGTTTTAACATCATTGGTTGAATCGTTTGTTTTGTCATCTTCCTCTTTTTCATCATCTTGGAATACCACATTTCTAGTTTTCTTTTCCATTTCTGGTTTTCCTGACTCTAGATTAACCCCTCTATCTTCAGTGCTGACTTCATGGATGTATTCCTTGGTTGCACAAGCCTCCTCAACATTTTCTCCTATAGAAATACATTTATAGATTAAGCTTTGGGCCAAATTGAAAGAGCAAAATCAGAAGGCATTAAAGTTATTCATAGTTGGTCAGATTTTCAAAATCAACGAAACAAACTGCCATCTCCTAACCATTTCGTTTCCTAAGCTAACACTGCTGAGAACTATTAACAAATATTTACTGGCGCCTGTGGGTCAGGGGTTGTAGATACAAATATAAGAATGAAACCATTCCTGTCCTTTAAGAAGTTGAAAATAATTATAAAATGAGAAAAATGCCATATAACTGAGGTAAGAATAAGGGGTCATAGGAACCCATGAAACGGAAGAACTACCTTTGTGTGAGAGACAGCGAGATGGCTATGGAAAGCTTTCAAGTGACACTTAGGCTGGGGCTTGAGAAAACAGTACTCGACAAGACCTAGGAAGACAATCTTGGTATGAAACTTAAAAGAAAATGACCTATTAAGACAACATTAAAGGGCCAGTGTGCTTAGAATACACGGTAAGAAGCAAGGTGGGAATGTGGGGAAGAGGTGATGAGTTCAGATAGGTATGAAGGGCTGGACCGTAATGACCTTTACATGCTAGAAGTTTGGTAAAAATAAATCTCTACTGGAGCGACAGAGATACAATAAGGTTGATCACTAAAACAGATGGTTTAGAATGGCAAGGAATGAAAAGGAATGATCTGTGATGATAAGAAGACAAAGCTATGGTTGTCTTAAGCAAGGTGGCAGAGAGGTAGGCAGTGAGGAGGAAGGGCTCGATTTAAGAGTTATTTCTAAGTTAGGACTTAACAAATGGATGCATGTGTGTGTCTGAATGAGTGTGCAGGTATAGTGCGGGCATCTCTTCCAAAATTTCTTGCGTAGGCCTCTTTAACCACAGAGGATTTTCTTTTTTGGGAGGAAGAGATGATGGTATGGGGAAGCAATGAGGGACGACAATGAGTCCAAAATAAAACATGCTAGATGTGAAACACTGGAGACGTCCTGGTAAATCAATCCATCAAGCCGAGAAGACCTCTAGATTTGACTAGTAGGAAATTATTAGAGATTTTTACTAAGAGGTGTTTCAGTTATATGATACATCTGAATCTAGAAAATGTTTACATTTCATAAACCTGACAGCTAATGAATCTCTTACTTCTATCTCCCATCCCTAGCAAAGAGAATTCTTGAACAGCTTCTCTAGAGCACAGAACAGATGACAGAATTTCACAAGTAAAATTTTAGAGATGCTCTAATCAAATTGCCTCACTTTTAACACAGGAAACTGAGGCCTAGAGAGGTAAGGTAACTTTCACAGACACTCAATGACAAATTTGAGTTTTGAACCAGATCTCCTAATTAAAAATTCTTTACACTACATAAAGCCACTGAATCTTGGAGGGAGGTATGCCAACAGATGTAAGAGGAGAGAAACAACTGACAAATTTAACAAGTTGAAAAAGATAAAAGAAAAATAATTCAATGAATTTTAATAAAATCACAATTCACTTGAAGAAAATAAAAAACTTACCATATTTAACTTTTTCTTGACTCTTCATTGTCAGAATATCTGCAATGGTATGTCGCATCTCTTCAATAGGCTTAATTGTTTTAGTGAGGGAAATAAAAGTTTTATATTCTCAGACATTAACGAGATTGTCCAAGTCAAAAATATTTTAAACAGTGATTACATTTCATACAATTAATAAAACAAAGCAATGGTTCTTAGACCATGTCTCTTTTCTCAAAATACTTATTTTGGCCACTCAAATTTTTAAAAATGACTCTTTGCCATTTAGAAAAAATTTTTTTCATTTGGGGCGCTAAGTGGTTAGTCGCCTGACTTCTGCCCAGACTGGTCTCACAGTTCAGGTTCAGGTCATGGTTTCTGTGCTGATTAGAAGCTCAGCCTGAGTTTGCATGGGATTCTGTGTTCCTCAGCCTTCTCTGCCCCTCCTCAGCTCATGCTAGCACTCTGTCTCTGTCAAAAATAAACTTCAAAAAAAAAAAAAAATTAAAAAAAAATTTTTTTAATGTTTATTTTTCAGAGAGAGAGCCAGAGTGAGAGTGGGGGAGGTGCAGAGAGAGGGAGACACAGAATCTGAAACAGGCTCCAGGCTCTGAGCTGTCAGCACAGAGCGTGACACGGGGCTCCAACTTACGGACCGCGAGATCATAACCTGAGCTGAAGTCGGACGCTTAACTGACTGAGCCACTGAGGCGCCCCGACTCTTTTCCAATTTAAAGGGTAGAATTATCAGATTAAAACTTTTCCCCACAATTTTTCTTAAAACTGCTTGTCTAGATATAAACAAAATTCATGGATAAGTAACAAGCTAACACTAATCTCTATTAAAGAGCTAATAATATACAGTAAATTTAATATGAGATTTATACCTTTTCTCCTATGTCCATGGTTATATATTTTTTTCACAGGCTATTAAATGCATCTCTGAAGAGCTCAAGGTTGATCAGCCTAACATTTCACTCATTCAAATTCAACAGTTCACTAAGTGTCCATTATATTCTAGAACATATAAGTACTTACTACGTTCCTTTGAACTGCCCTGACTGCTAATGCAACATATTCAAGACATTATATAAAAGGGAAGTTCTGGCTCATATTCTTAGTTCTAGCACATAGTCCTTAACTACTCACTCATCCTGCTTTCACTTTTCTTTTGCAAATTTTAATCCTTGTTTTCCACTTTCTGCTCCAGTGTCACAGCTTTCCTTTACACACTGCTTTCTATGTGAACCTTTGGCCCCGGTTATGCATCCTAGCTAATCTGCCTTAAGCCACTTTAAGTCATGCCCCTTCTGGTTCAGCGCAGTAGGAACCTAACACTCCCTTCCAGGTGGGATTCTGTCAAATACAATTTCCCTTCAGCAAAGCGCTTTATACATAATAGCCATTGAGAGAATATCTGCTGAATATTTGATTTTTGATTCAGGTGAAGGGTCAAATAGTATCCGTTGGCTTTGCTGAGAATTAAGTGAGTAGACCTTTCTTAAAGAAAGACTAAAGAAAAAAATTTTTTAAAAACTCTCTTTATAAATAATCTCTAAAAATGCATGTTGAGAAACTTGGTCAAAAGGAAATGCATTTTAGAAATATTTGCCCATAAAAGCAAAAACCCAGTCAAATAAAAAAAACTGGAGATACAACTTATTCTAGAGCCAGGGCCTTTGTAGCAATAGACCAGGAAGGGGCAAGAGGTATGGTATCAAATCACTATGGTGGTTACATGTCAGAGAAACTAGTTGACTGCCATTTTCTATGCGTGGGCAGGACCAAACACAGGGCATAAAAATATAAGTACATTAAGAAACGCTCTTAAAGCAATAGGGTTCTCTCACAAAGCCACAGAACCCGCTAACATTTAGATGTTAATTCTACTTACTTTATATTCGTTAAATACATTTTAATATTAAAAATTCAATATCCCAGATATCTTAACTAGGAAATGTGTAAAATGACATGTTGTACTAAAATATTTCTCACAGCATTTTTCACGAAATTTACATTTCAGCTTATATTCATCTTCTAAGTCCGATTATCACTAGTTCACAAGCAAGTTTTAGAAGGTTAAGAAACAGCTTTTATAATATGCAATCATTGTGGCCTTTAAACATTCATTACTACTACATATATAACCACACTTTTATCAAGTTATGTTGTAATGTGCTCCAAAATAACTCTGAATCTTTTACACTGTAATAATAAAGATTATTAAGTTTTAATCTTACCTGAGCGCCCGCCAGAATGGCTTTCTCATAGATTGTGATAATGTTTTCAATAGGACTTGTGAGTGGTTCAATACGTGCAAGGCATATCCAATATTTAACAAGCTTTTTGGCATCCGGAATATTTTTAATCAGGTCATTCAGTATGACCAATATTTCTTCTTTTGGGCATCCCTAAAACAGCAAGAAGTGAAGTGAGTGATCTCATTTAGCCTCCAAACTATGAACAATTAAGTAAGCTTGATCTATAATCAAGATCAATGATAATGAGAGAAAAAACTGATAGAAAACTATTCATAAGAATATTCACTGTTCTCTTCCTTACTCCAAACTTATTCTGAATGGCTAACAAGAAGCATATTAGTCATGAATACAAAGCAGGGAAAAAATGAAATATAAGTTGAGAAAAACATTAAGTCAAAAATGACCAACACTCTACATGGTCTTGATCCTTTTCCTTATCCTTATCCTTTTACATATTGTGGGATTCCATTCAATATTTGAGTTGGAATTTTTGCATCTACGAAATGTTTATGGGGGAGAACAGCTTCTGGTTTTAAAAATTGTCTTTATCAGGTCTTGATATTAAGGCTAAAATGAATCTGTTACGGTATATGTACTTAAGGGCTATACACAGATAGTATACACAGATACACAGATAGTAGGGCAGTTTCAATGACAAACCCCAGCTAAGCAGAATTAAGAATATAATCAGGGAAACTCCGAGTCTAATTTTCACGGGTCCTCAGAATCACAAAAAGTCTAAAGATGCTCGTGAAGACCAGAGTAAGGTTTGAAATCATACTCATAGATTCAGTCTTGCTGTGGATCTTGGACACTGTGGGTAACCAAAGCAAGATTAAAAAGTATTCAGGAAATAAAGGAAACATTCTAGAGTTATTATACTCTGTAGGATTTTGGTCCAAATAGTGAAACTCTACAATAAGTTCAAGACCATGATGATGTTGGTTTAGATTAATGGAATTTTGTTTGAAATATTTTAGCTAACTTGAATTTCATGTGAGATAATGACTAATTTATGTAGCTAGTCTTTGGTAAAATATGTAATGAGTGGAAAAAATAATATGAAAACATGCTGAAGGAATGGAAAAAACAGAGGTATCAGAGTGAATATCCACCCTCAGCCCATTTTATATTAACATCTTACAGAAACATAATATTTATAAGTAAAAAAAAAAAAAAAATCCAGTAAAAACCTAATTATCCCTTTGATCTATTTATATGAACTCAATGAAAATGCAGTCCATTAAAGGCTAAAGATAAACAATCTCATAATTAACATTAAATCTACATAACACCACTAACACATTACATGGTCAAAGAGTGACAAGGTAATTTAGTGAGATAACATTTATAAGATAATTTACAAACTATAAACTACTATACGAATATAAGGACTGTACCTCACTAATCAGGTTTAGGCATTCAGAAAATGTCTTGTTCACTTTTTCGGTAAATAATCTTTGTTCATCTTCTTCTACCATGGTAGTCCAAAAGGACCCAACTGGGTTTTCGTGTTGCCCTTCAGGCTCAGGCTGGGTAACTCCTGAGCTAGGAGGCCTTTTCAGGACTTTCCTTTTGCCAGCTTTCCACTCACTCAGACGAGCTCTACAGTTAGAAGCAGGATACAAGCATTACCGTGATATTGATGATAGAATTCTCTCAGAGGAGAAGTTAAAAAATAACTCAGGTCTTGAAGTAGCCCCATGCTAGTGGCACATACATAAGTTCACAAGTTCAAAGAAAGAGGAATATTGAACATATCAATGTTAATTATATGCTCAAAGACCCTAAGAACGCATTTTTAAATGGAGAGGTTATAAAATATTTCCCAATTGTATTAAGCATTATAACTTAGATTACATCAGACCTAATGAAAGACACTCAAGCACAAGAACTTAGGTCATACTGTTCCACAACATAAATTTGCTTAAATTTGCACACGACAGAAGAGAATCTACACTTGCACACAAATTCTAATACATTCAAGGAGATGATAAGCCAAACCACAAGAGCTACTCTGCTGAAAATTAAGCTTATAAAACTACATTTACTTACTTTCTCTCTTCTGCTGTTTCTTTGGGCTGCGCTGATCTATCAATAGTTGCTTTTGCTATTGTATGTCTGCGAGGGTCAACGTTTTTCGACTTTTCTATCAGTTTGGTGTTAGAAGACGAAACAGGCCTGGCTACAATTTCAGACTTCACGCTTCTTGTTAGTGTCTTCTTTCTTTCTATATCCTGAGAACCGGTTTTGGCACTAGATGAAACTGTGTTTAATTGCACTAACTCTTTCTCTCGAGGTCCTTTCCGCATCGTAACATTGGCCGAGCTTCTACTGATGCCTGGTCTCACAGCGTCCTGAGCATTGTCGCGGTGACTTCTAATAGGAGGTCGCAGAAGCTGTCTGTTCTGAATTGTAGTGCTCACAAGTTTAGTGGTAGTCGTCACGTTAGAAGCTCTATCGCTTTTCGCTGTCACACTGCTGCTGTTTGTGCGCAGAGGCTCTGTAGCTTTAGGGACTGTAGTCGAAAGTTTCTTTATTGCTGCAGAACTCTCATCTCTGATTTGTAGAGGCTTTCTTCTAAATGAATTAATCTTAGACTGAACAATTTGGCCACGGTAAGATCCAAGCACAAGCTTCTTGGACATGTTAGCATCTTGCTTTGGTTTTTCTGTCATTATTTGTTTCTTTTTATTGTTGTTTTTAAGATGAAACACTTGGCTTAATGTCATGTGTTGACCTGGAGGGTCACCTTTAATTGGTACCAACTGCCCAGTTTGATTATTATCCTCAGAATTAGGTGTATCAATTGCTATAGTTGAATTGGTTAGTTCATTAGAAGGCCTTAAAGGAATACAATTTTTTTCCATTGTTATATTATTTTTGCTCCCGGGAGGTCTACTGACATTTTCTTTACCAGCCTAGAAGAGTGATTTATGACAAATTGGTATTTCAGAATTCATCTCTTTAAGAGTTTAGGAAAGGGAAAGGGGGAAAAGGGACAGTTTATGAGGGCTATGTCCATATCTTACCATTTTTGTTTTAAATTTCAGAACTTTTGTCTCTTCATGGACCTGGCCCTCAGAGGTCATCACTTTCTGGTCTCTACTACTTTTAAAAAAAAAAAAAAAAAAAAAAAAAAGGAAAAAAAGTTTAACCACAGACCAAGTGAGTTTTGTCTTTGGCAGGAGGAATGGGAGGATAGTAACAATCATCTGACTTTGTAATTTTAAATTAAGGCAAGAACTGAGCTGAGATTTATTTATGAAGCAAAACTCTTCTTTCTTTATTATAGGGTGACTTAATAGTATAAACAAGATGGCTGGGAATTTAGATATTTTCTTAAAAGTCTTAACACCCTCTCCATACAGAATAGGTAAACACATTTGATAACCTCATTCCAAACCATTCTTCTTAGTCACTCAAACAAATCCTCAAAACCTTTATTAAGCAACACTTCCTTTGGTTAGTTTTCAGTACTTAGTAACAGATTTACATTGAAAAAAAAATTAAAAATAGCCCCTCTTCAAATAAATGGTGCTGGGAAAACTGGACAGCCACATGCAAAAGAATGAAACTAGACCACTTTCTTACACCATACACAAAGATGAACTCAAAATGCATTAAAGACCTAAACGTGAGACCTGAAACCATAAAGCTCCTAAAAGGAAACAGAGGTAGGAAAGTCCTGGACACCAGCCTTAGCCATATTTTGTGGGATGTATTGTGTCCCCTCAGGCAAGGGAAACAAAAGTAAAAATAATGGAAAGTTCATCAAACTAAAAGCCTCTGCACAGTATCAAACCATCGACAAAACAAAAAGGCAATCTACTAAGTGAGAGAAGTTATTTACATGGGATATATCTGATAAATCAGGGGTTAATTTCCAAAATTTATAAAGAACTCCTACAGCTCAACATGAAGAAAACTCAATTAAAAAATGCACAAGCAGACCTGCACAAGCAGGACCCAAGCAGACATTTTTCCAAAAACATTCAGATGGTCAACAAACCCATGAAAAGGTGCTCAACATCACTCGTCATCAGGGAAATGCAAATCAAAACCACAATGAGATAATACTTCACACCTGTCAGAATGGCTACTAACAAAAAGACAAAAGATAACAAGTGTTGGAAAGGATGTGGAAAAAAGGGAGACCTTGTGCAATGAAAATATAAATTGGTGCAGCCAATGGAAAACAGCATGAAGTTTCCTCAAAAAATTCATAAATAGAAATACCAGATGATCCAGTAATTCTACTTCTGGGTATTTACCTGAAGAGTATATGAAAACACTAGTTCAAAAAGATACATGCACCCCCGGGGTTTACTGCAGCATTATTCACAATATCCCTGATATAGAAGCAACCTAAGTGTCCATCAATAAATGAATGGACAAGGAAGATGTGGCATATATATATATACACTGGAATATTACTCAGCCATAAAAAAAGAAAACCTTGGGGTACCTGGGTGGCTCAGTCAGTTAAGCATCCAAGTTTGGCTCAGGTCATAATCTCGCAGTTTGTGAGTTTGAGCCCCACA